GGGGTTATGCTGTGAAGTAGATGCTAGGGTCTAAGTGAACTCTACAAGGGCATAGCGGTTTAATGGTTAGCCCTGACCACAAGTGTTGGTTCTGCTATAGTGATACTTAAGTCAACTGTAAAAATGAATACAGAAGGCTCTGGGGGGTTTATTTCGAGAATAAATTAGTCCTAAGGTTGCAAATGATGATCTGGTACATCAGTGATGACTAGTAATGTTAACACAGATTACAGATTCAGAATGTTTAAAGTGAAACACCCAAGCAGGGGTGTTAGGTACGGCAATTGGTGGGGAACCTTCGGGCAGACTCATTAAATAGGTAATATAGAAAAGTTACATGTGTAACTAATTGTACACTCTCCTGTAGTGGTTCATTGAACCACAATACTGACAAGTGATTAATAAAAGTCAAAAGACCAAAGAAGTCACCTTAATACCAAACAGAGACAGAGGAAGTCAAAATAAGAGAAGCACTAATGAAAGGCCTAATTCCAAAAGATACACAAGACAAACTAGCAAAGTTATTAAACACAAGATCAAGATAGCAGTTTGCAAACACAGTAGCAATAACAGCCTGGAACACATTTTATGAACAAGTATGGAGAATATGTTGTGAGAAAATCATCGAATGTGAGAAAAAAGTTGGAATAACAGGAAAAAGTAAAAGAAAAAAAGATGAAATTCAAAAGAAAGCAGGAGGAAAAAAGAAGGCAGACCAAAAAAAAGCAGAAAAGAAGAAAGAAGAAATAAGAGAAAAAGAAAAACAAGTTGAAAAAAAAGCAATGAAGACAATTTTGGGGCTTGTCATGAAAGGGAGAAAACCCTTTTATTATGGACTTTAAGTAGTCAGACAAGTAGCTTACTTCTGTTTGAAGTAATGTGACAAGTTGCACTTAGGTACCATTAAGGTGACCAGGTGATGCTAGACTTAGATATTAGAAATATGTATGTAGTTACAAATGTAATTTCAAAAACTCAATAAAGTACTAGTGTGACTGCTTATAGTAAAAAAAAAAAAAAAAAAAAAAAAAAAAAAAGTAGACTTATTTTATCTAATTCAAATAAATGAATACTTGAAATTTTACTAAAAAATCTTAAAAAAAAAAGAATAAATCATATTAAAAACATTTTAAAAAAAAACCAAAAACCCAATAATCTGAAAAATATAAAAAAACAAAACTCCAAAAAACATACTAATCTTTTTAATAGTTCAAAAAATTTTCATATATACAATATTTTTAAAATTTGTTATAAAGTTAATTAAATAAAAAAAAATACACATATATGTTATATAATTCTTTTTTAAATAACTATGCAGGATACTTTGGTAACTAATATTTTGTTATAGAAACTTTTTTGATTAATATTATACATACCACCAAGGTGTAACAAGATCTACGTTAAAAAGTTGGTAACTCTAAATAAGTAAAAACAAAAAAAAAAATACAATAATATGTAGCGGAGTTGGTGGATTCAATTTTCAACTAACTTTATTAAATTAGACTTGTTTCGGATTTGCATTGGGCTGCTCCTGACAACACCCAAATTTAGACGTTTTAAAACCATTTCAATATGGATTTGGATCAATCTGTAGTGGATCTGGAATATGCTATCCCTATTAACAACCTATTCACAAAATTCGGGGATAAGGTCGAATTATTAAAATCGGAACCAAACTCCAGGTAAGAGTTTGAACTTATATTTAAAAGTGTGTAAATTTTACAGTTAGACGTTATGATTAGAGAGGAATTATTTATTTCATAACCCACATTCAACTTTTCTTAGTCCGATCAACGAATCATAAGACACAAGTAAAACATTACAGACTAATTGTGATAACGTAATATACAATATATGTTATATTCGCTTAGTAAGCAAGTCGCAAAAAAAAGAATATCGGAGATCGTTACTGCGATAATTATTTTTTGCCAAAACTAATCTACCTAATAAAAGGTATCATGCTCTGATCTGGTCATAAGACAAATTTGGCACAATATCTATTCTTCATCATAGAGAAGAATTGAGCGGTGTAAAAATCGCTCGAGTCCGATCACCGGATCACGAGATGTCTCAATGCGTAACAATATCTTCGTATTTGATGAATAGACAATATAGTATAAATTTATGTTTATATAATTTGTCATAAGGGAAGGTAGGGTATTATGGCGCGGATGGGTCTTATGACGTACTTATGATATATTGTGAAACAATATCAGAATCGAAAAATTTTAAAAAACATAGCATATTCGAGTAGGTTTTGAAAGTTCATACGTATTTCAAACTTTTTATTTTATTGGTAGATAGTTAATTCGATAAGTAATCTATTTCAATAAATTCCGAGAATAAATATACATTTTCTGGAAATTTTTATATAAGCAACTCTTAAGTGCTACCTTCCCTTATTTGTGATTATTTATCATATGCACAAAAAACAATAGCGACAGTTTTATTGATCAAAATTATTATTAAATGGTAAAGAAAGATTTAAAAAGCTGTATGATTAAAAAGAAATCCTTTAACAATTAGTCGAATTAGTCGCAGTGTTCTTTCAATTATATCTATTATATATCTAGTCACTAATACAAAATCAAGCTCAGAATAAAGATTTTTTAGAAAACCAACTTATTACTTCGCATGATCAATTAAAATTCGTACATTTACATGCATCTTTCATTTTAATTAACGTTCGAAACATTCCAACCAGTTATAAACTTATGGCATCGGATTATTTGTTTTTTTAAAGCCATTCATGTGAGCATTTCTTTGTCAGATGTGAAGACATACGATTGTTACTTCTTAAAGATCAGGAATATAACAATGATTCGAGAAACTTGAGAAGCATGATGAGTGGTGTGGTAGTAATAAGGTTGATAAAAGATTAGCACACTTTGATAAGATTAATTAGCAAACTTTGATAAAATTAGCACACTTTGATAAGATTAGCACACTTTGTGATAATGTTTATAGAAATCGAACCATAGAAAAAAAGAAACATGTAGTACTGATGATAAGAAATTAATAATGTTATTAAATATTGAGATTTGGTCATTCAATGTGCAAAAGTTTATTGATAACGTAAGAGACACAAATCAACTTTTACCATCATTTTGCACAACATAATTCAATGATTTAAAGAATGCAAGTGCATCAATGCGGAACACCAGAATACATTAATCTAATTTATCGAAACCCATTGTTGGGCATTACGTGTTGGGAACACAATAATAATTTGAAACTTGTTTGTGAATTATACAAGATAGGATGTATGATCGGCCCTCGTGGCGAATCGTGGTACATACATATATATATTAACAATTGTAAAATAGAGACACGAAAAAAAAAAATGATTAGATTGCAGAGATAGATATTGATGCTAATACTAATACAAATACAAACGCTAATACGTACCAAATATACAAGTTATACCAATCAGTTTATTAATAATGGTATATAATAATGGTATACTGTATAGTATCAATATTAATGGTATGTAGTATCAATATTAATGGTATATAGTATCAGTATTAATGGTATATAGTATCAATAGTATCAGTATTAATGGTATACAGTATCAGTATTTGATACTAGCCAGAGTTAACATGATATAAAGATTAATATTTAATGTTAATATTTAATGTCGTACGTACTGCCAATGAATGATTTATAGTAGAATTATAGTTGTTGTATTTTATATAACGATAATAATAACGGAATAACGACGGGATAACAACATAAAGATATTTTAGAGAGTCTAGACCAATTAATACGTATAACATATTTTATAATAACATATAGTTGAGAAAATCCGATGCATTTAACTGGTATTATTTATACTGTGGTTTAGATTATGTGAAGTTTAAAAGTGGAATAGTCAAATCATCAATCATGATATAAGGATTGCATCATAACATTCATAAAACTATATAAAGTTTGGTATTTTAATTTTTGTTCAGAGAACTGAACGTAGGAATTAAAAAAATATAGAAAGCACTTATGTATGTACGTATTATTTATTCAATTGAGAATTTTGGGAAAATGTTTATCAAACATAGGATCATGAACTTCACCCAATAATCAACAGTCACACCAAGTTTTGGTTATTGAGCGAAGCGATATGATATCATGTACAACCAAATCCCTGAATTTTAAATGACGTATTGGTGCATAGAACACTTAATACATCGTTATTAAATATATTCCGTTAGTCTCTTTATTTGTGCATCCTTCAACAAATCACCGATCATACCAATAATGTAATGCTATGTTTGAGGAAAAAAAAAAAAAGTATAAAAAAAATACTAGTCCATTATTTATTTGGTTCTTTTTTTTTTAAAATCAAGTGTTAAAAGAACGTACAATTGCGGGTGCTGGTATTATTAAAGGGTTACGTTTATCACTTTCACTTTGATAAATATGAAATGGCAATCCCAAACGCATCTTCTTTACCTAATGAAATATATTTGTCTATTTTCGCCCATCTTTCAGTAATTGACCTTCTCGCCGTTTCTTTAGTATGCGAAAAGTGGCACGCATCATTTATCTCTTTCCTCTTCTCTAATCTTTTTATAAAATCCCCTCGTCAATTCATTTTACTCAATAAATACCATCTATTAAAACGTCATTCTCATCTAATCCGTTCTTTAACGCTTTTTAAAGTACATCTTTCTTCTCAAGATAAGCAATTGCTTTTAACAACTTGCAAAAAACTTAATAAACTCACCTTTATAAAATGTTATAACCTTGATTCAGATTTCTTAAAAGATATTATAAAACTTAATAAGAATTCAATAGAAAGTTTTAATATCTGGGGTGAGCGAAATGTTAATAATACAAGAAGTGAATTTAGCAGTACTGAAATAAATGATGAACTATTGAGTCCGATGATGGAATTTTGTGGAAACTTGAGAGAATTACGAATCTGTGGCGCAGAAATCACTGATAATATCTTAATTAGTTTAACATCTTCATTAGATGACCATGAATTTCCTGCTGACAATTTTAATTCTGATGAAAGTGCTTTCGATTCGTCACAAGATTTATTAGTAACTCCACCATCTTCACCTATATCAACTTATACTTATCCGCATCTTCATTCATTGGATCTATCTGAATGTTTTAATTTGACTGCTTTTGGAATAGCTGAATTATTCTCTCCTGATAATTTACCAAGCTTTCATTCTTTAACTCTTCAACATAATCCACAGAATGAATTGGATTTGGAATTCTTTGAATTTCTCGCTGATAGTTTTAAATCTCATTCTTTTAATATCATTATCTTAAATTCTAAGAGATTTGATGAAAAAAATAAAAAGATTTTACATACTTTTGCTAGAATTACTAAAGATCTGGAGATTCTTGGAACAAAGAAGGACAATGTTAGTGTTATTAAACATGAAAACGAAATGAATGATTTGGAGATTTTATATTCTTTTGGAATAGGTAGTCCTTTTATGGCTTGATTTTTTGATTTGTTAAATAATATTGTATGATAATTTTTTTAATAGATGAATTATGTATGATAATCGGTTATTCATAATGAATGTTATGATGTTAGGTAGATGGTTGATGGTTGATTCGATGTTTGAATGGATAAATCGTTGTTTCGATGTTTGAATGGAGAAATGAATGAATATTCAGAAAATTTTTGTATAAATAATGTTCAATTAATAAATTTCTGAATTATTTCTATTTAATCAAAGAAATGACTTAAAATTGCTTTGATTTGCAACTACAACTTATTTTTTCATTCTCATTACATGCGTACTTAATTCTTGTAGTTCCATTATTCTTTGTAATTCTTTGTAATTCCACAATTCCTTAATCCTGTAGTTACTGCATTGTATTACTCGTTATATTACTCGTTACGTCATGATTTCATTCATTTATTCATGCGGCGTCGATAACCCCATCAAACAACTCTACCATATCTATACCTAACTACCTCATTTCATGGTCAGCATAACATTGAATAACTTAATCTAATTATTCATTTTCGTTTTTCAATGATTATCTTGATCGTTTATACGCATATTCCGGCACGAGGTGTGTGATAATACATTTATGGTTTTGTACCTCGAATCACAAAAATTGAAAAAATTTTCTTACGAGCGCCAAACTTCTAATATCATTCGTTACACATGTCAAGGGGGTGCGACAATAATAAATATTCGTGTTTTCACGACCTATCTTATGTATGTATGTATGTATGTACATATTGATACGTATGTACTGTATGTACTGTACATATTGATACGTATGTACTGTACATACTGTACGTACTGTACGTAAGTACTGTAACCCCAAAATTTTTTCTACTTGGAAACTAGCACACATGAAAAACATTGATAACTACGAATTGATATGTTATTAAATTTTTACATGTTGATAATGCAAAGCTGAAAAGGAGAATCAAAAACAAAAAATAATTAAAATTATTAATATTGCTTTTTTTAATGACGTTATTCAGGGAATATGCATGTACTAATTACACAAAAAAAAACAAACTGATTTTTTTGAAAAAAAATGTGATGTTTTCGTCCGTCACACATTTCCTTCAAATTCTATCTTTTTACTCTTAAAAGTAAATTTAACTTTTCTCAATTTTTAATTCTTTAGTTTCATTCTAATAATTTTAATCATTCCAACCACTCGAGTGATTTATTCTTTCGAATTTATTATCGGAATTATTCAAATTATTCGAATTGTTCAAATCATTAAATTAATCGAATCATTTGAATCATTCGATTTATTCGATTTATTCAAATTATTCAATCGAATTATTCAAAATAATCGAATTAATGGATTAATCGAACAAATCGAATTTTTCAATGATTCGGATCGATCCGAATCAGTTTTTTATTTTTTTTTGATGTACACTCACATGCCAAAAATATTTGAAACTTTATGTTTGACAAAAATAACTTTAACTGGTACTTTATAAATGGGTTTTAAAAAAAACATTAATGCTTTAAATCTATTGTAATTTGGTAGTTTAATATTTATACATTATATTTAATTTTATATAGTATATATAATAAATAAATTTTTAAATTAAAATACTATAATATTTTAATAAAATATTAAAATTGGTATTTTAAAAATGTTTTATAGCATTTATTAAAAGGTTTACCACTACGTATATAAATTGATATTATACAGTATATATAAATAGATTTTCAAAAGTTAATAATATTAATTTTATGTTTAATCAAATTAAAATTTTATTTATAAAATATATCAATAGTATTTAATATTATATATATTTTTATTATAAAATTTAGAATGGGATATAGCTATAAATTAAAAATAGTTAAATATAGTATAAAGATTTCAATTTATAAAAATTATTTTTTATTTAAAATATAAACTTTAGTTGTATTAAATAAAATTTTATAATTTTTAAATTTTGTATTTTTTATTTTTTAAACTATAAGTTTGAATTATACAACATAAATTCCTAATAAACAACCTAACATTGTTTAGTCATCCAAATGGTTTCTAAATGCAATTTGTTGCATTAGTGCTATTAACATTATAATTATAATTTGTTTAATTTTGCTTTATAATAAAATATTAATTTAATAGCATCTTGTAAATTTTTTTTAACTTTATAAGCAGTTATACTAGTACTTTATTAAGATTTTGAAATTATATTTGTAACTACATAAATATCCCTAATACCTAAGGCTAACATCACTTGACCATCTTAATAATACCTAAGTGCAACCTGCTGCATTACTTCAAACAGAAATATACTGCTTGTCTGACTACTTAAAGTTTATAATAAAAGGGTTTTCTTTTTTTTATAACAAGTCTCAACATTATTTTTGTTACTTTTTTCTTAACTTGGTTTTCTTTTTCTCTTATTTTTTCTTTTCTTTCTTCTATTTTTTGCTAATTTGTTTTTCTTTTTTTATTTGGTTTTTTTAGTTTTGTTCTTTTTTCTCTTTTTATTTTATTTATTATTTTAATTTTTTTCTTTTATTCATTAATTTTTTAGTACTCTTTTTATTTTATTTATTATTTTAATTTTTTTCTTTTATTCATTAATTTTTTAGTATTGTATTTTTAACACTTGTTTATAAAATGTATTTCAGACTGTTATCATTACTATATTTACAAACTGCTATCTTGATTTCATGTTTAAGAATTGTGTTAATCTGTTTTGTATTTTTTTTAAAATTAGGTCTTTAATTAATACTTTTCTTATTTTTATTTTCTTTACTTTTGTTTTTCTAAAGAGTATTATATATAATATATATAAAGAAATCTATATTTTTTTTTTTCTTTTAGTCTTTTTCATACTGTTGTAATGATCACTTTTTTTGTCTCTTGTATACTATCAAGTGTGCTTGTATTTTTTTTACTTTATTTTAACATACTTGGCATTCCATTATTGTATATATATTTAGTCTTTTTTTGTTAAGTTTTTCTAAAGTTAAAAGTTTATCTATTATGCACTTAATAAATGCACTTTTTCTAGAGCTATTTATTCTTGTTATATAGTATATTTTCTTAGTGATCTTTAATCTTTTTCAAAAATATGTTTAATCATAAATTATAATTTTTGTTTTTAGTTCTAAATTTTTAACTGCTCTTGTTTTTTTTTTACTTTGTTTCTAGTTTTGTATTTATTATTAACTTACAAAACAGTTTTGCTAATATATTAGTTTGTTGTTTTTCTATTCTAAACAGTACTCTATCTCTTTATAACTAACTTTTTCAGTCTATACTATCTTTCTGCTTATTGTTTCTTTCTTTACTAGTTATCAACTTTATCATTTCATTTATTTTTATTATAACTCTTTATTTTAACTATTTCTATCTAAATATTTTTTATCTTAACAAGGTTTTTAATCTTCATTATTTATATTGCATTTTTTTTTTTAATAATATTATTTCTGTTTGCTTATTTTAAACTTTTACTAATATTTCTTATTGCAATATAATTATCTGAATATATCTCTATTTGCATCTCTTTTGGTATCATTAAGATTGCTGCCCAAATTGCTATTAACTTTATTATTATCAATGTCTACTATCCTTTTAGTTTAGATTCTACCTCTTCTTCTGACCATTTTTGTGTTTTATTTGTTTAAATTCATTCTATATCTATATTATTATTAGATATTAATTCTTTACTAGTTTTTTTTTTTTTTTTTTTTTTTTTTTTTTTTTTTTTTTGCGTTCTTCTTTTTTTTCTTCTTGTTTTTTTTCTTTTGAATTTTTATATTTATTTATAATATATTTATTT